CAGTCAGGACAGGTGCTTCAGTCCAGGACAGGTGCTTCAGTCAGGACAGGCGCTTCAGTCAGGACTGATGCTTCAGTCAGGACTGATGCTTCAGTCAGGACTGGTGCTTCAGTCAGGACAGGTGCTTCAGTCAGGACAGGTGCTTCAGTCAGGACAGGTGCTTTAGTCAGGACAGGTGCTTCAGTCAGGACAGGTGCTTCAGTCCAGGACAGGTGCTTCAGTCAGGACTGGTGCTTCAGTCAGGACTAGGTTAGACATGTCTGTGAAACTGCTCATTGATGTTCATGTAAATGTTTGACCGCCTTTGACATCCCTTTTAATTGATCTAGATGTTTATGTCACATAAATAAATTGAGTGTGCCGCAAATTCTTCCTAACATTCAAGTTTTTCCACAAATCAGAGAGGTGGGACGCTCGTGTGCTGAAAGTTTTACTGTAAGTCATGAAAGAGTTGATTCTGATTCTCACTCTACGTTTGATGATTAATTGTATAATGAAGTGTGTGGGAGGTGAATCTGACGACAGTGGGTTCAAATGTTCAGCAGCAGCACATCACCTGGAGTCCTCCAGAATCATCACATTTCTTCTGCTGCTGCCTATGATGTGACCTCAAAAATCTGCTGCAGATGTTTCTTACAGAACCATTGAAGTTTCAAGCTGAGTATGAAACTGGGTCGATGGTCGGGCCTTGTCATGAAGTCAGGACGCTGTGGTTTACAGAGGAGGATCAAAGGCGGTGACATCCTCACAGGAAGTGTCGCCCGGTGCCAGCCAGCATAAAAATCTGAGCGGCTCAAACTGGAGTCCGTCAGAAACACCAGCGAAGAAGAAGACAACAACCTGCAGCCTGTACATGATCTCCAGCCGAGCCTTGGAAGCCTTCAGCGTTGAACACTCAGGACAGGTTGGACTGACGAGACAAGACACGTCATCAGAACATACAGAGACCCAAATAGAACCGGCAGCATGTTTCCAGCATCAAGCTCATCCAAAACAACGGTACGAAAACAAAATGATTTCTAATCAAAGAGCTCAGATATTTACCTGAACAGGTGTTTGTTGTTCAGTACAGAACAGCTCAAAGAACCATACGGCAGCCTGGAGTGGAATATCTTAAATAATCTATAAAATGTTTAATATGTGAAGAGTTTATCGTCCGTGTTTCAAGAAGAGATTAAATTTTAATATTCACGGTGTAATTAATGGAAACAAGGCTGTGATTGGCTGAGACGCTTTTCAGCCAATCACAGCTGAGGAGCCTGATGTAGGATGATGTCGTCAAAACTGATGGTATCATTGAAATTCAAACTTGTTTTTTAAAACGTAATTTAATTTGTGAGAAAGAAAGTATAAAATGTGGCAAAGAATTACATGATTGATAAAAAAAAAAAAAGTTTTATAAATAAATAAATAACCTCAGTCTCGTTACAGAAACTCATTAATGTTTCAGATTTTACACTTTTATGAACAAAATGAACAAATAAACTAGTTTTTATTCCCCCAGAAAACAAATGGAGCTGCAGTTTGTGTACAAAGACATGAACATCAAATAAATAACTAAATAAAAAATCAAAGAAAATCATTTTTAAAGAAAATGTTTTTTTAAGTGACTAAAAAGGGGAAAGTGTCAGTCTGTCAGTTTGTTAATGATTCACTTTTAAAACATTTTTGTCTTCTCCGTACAAACTGTTCAGATCATTTGTTGAATTTTATTTTGTCAAACAGCTGAGAAACTTTCAGAGAGGTCTGAAGGAACCGTTCAGTCTGTGCAGGAACCAAACATTTGGTTCTGCTGAATCAGAGTATTCAGACTGGTTCCTGTTCTTCTTCTTCCTCAGGTTGTAAGTGCTGTCCTGTTGATGATGATGATGATGATGATGGTCCCACAGGCAGCAGCAAAGCCACACAGAAAGTTCTTTGAAGGTTTAGCAGAAGAAACGGTCCCTCTGCGTTTGGACCCGAACAATTTAGTTCCCAGCCTAAAATTCAGTTCTTTGGCCAACGACTCCATCTCACCGTGGACCTACAAGTGAGGCTCCAGCTCCTCAGTGTGTTGTCCTTCATCAAGCTCAGAGTCCTTTTAACAGTTTTTGTCTCATCTCTGTCCTCAGCATCTCCAGGGACGACACCATGTTCCCACATGCACTGTCGCAGGCGCAGTGTTTGCTCAAAACCTGCCTGGACCACGAAGGACTGGAGGACGGGGGCCTGGAGTCCCGTCCCATTATGCATCAGGCGCTGGTTCTGAGACGAGTCAAGGCGCCGGGGGCAGGGGCTGGGCATGGCTACCACTACCGTCTGGAGTCCAAACTCATCTCAGTGGGCTGCACCTGCGTGAGACCGAAGGTGGTCAACCAGCACTGAGGACTGACCCGTGGAGACCAGCATGGAGCTGCAGACCATCTCCATGTGGGGTGTCCTCCAAAGATCTGTGGCAGGGTGGGGGCAGGGTTAGGATAAGGGCTTAAGGATAGGAGCGACCGTCACGTAGGGGGGGGGGGGGAGAAGGGGAGGGGCGGGGTGGCGTTGGCGGG